AATAAGACAGATCCCCGAAATAAGCACTTGGCCTTATTTTCGGGGAGGTCTTATTATTTTTGAGGTGCAGGAGGTGGCGAGCGTAGTTACCTCATGTTTGCTGCTGTGTTGCAATATTTTCAGGGATGGCTTATTTTCAGGGGAGGGCTTATTTTAGTGCATGCGCTCAAAAGCCTGGTTGGGCTTATTATCCAGGGAGGTCTTATTTTGAGGGAAATACTGTAATATATAGGTTAATGCAAGATATTTTTGCTAATATCATTTTGTTCTACTAAAAGCTACCCCCCTCTCCCCATGCTACACTTTTAGATTTGTTGCTCCTATGGAAAAAAAGATTGTTTGTATTTTTAATGTTTTATTTTATTTGTACCCTACCTTTATTATTTTTATGAATAACTCCTTCCTCCTCCTATTTTCCCCACAACAGCAACCCTGTGTGGTGGGTTGGGCTGAGATAGATCCTGGCCCAAACTCACCCAGCTGGCTTTCACGCTTGAACTCACAGTCTCCCCTTTTCTAGCCCGGTGCCTTAACCACTAGACCAAACTGGTACATGCAATCAAATGAGGATGACGTAATCTCTGGTTGTTGTTCCCAGAGTTATCCAGAATAGTGTCTATGTGTACAATTAATGATTCATGCCACCCTTATTTTAATAACATGCAGGGTAAAACTATAGGCTGCATAATTATGATTTAGATTAGTTTCATCAAATTTATTTATGAATTTCTTTACATTTAATGGGATTGGTGTTATTTTCATGGTACACACAATCTGACCCCAGAATGTCAAGACTGATTATTTGCATTTTGTAACTCATGAAAAATATGTCTCTTTATATCCATTTCGTAATGTAAGGGAGAGATTATGCAGTCTCTTAATTTTTGCTGGCTAGTTCTTTTGCTGTTTAATCAGGTATTTGTATCGATATGCTTATTTAATATATATTTAAATGTTATTTCATTTATGTGTTATTTAAATATATTATTTTGAAATTCTTCATATCAGTCCCATCAGGATAAAAAAGTCTTATTAATCTTTTGTATTTTTTATTCTCATATTTATTATCTCTGTATTAAAATAATTTTCCTAATACTTGAGAACCAGTATGATGTAATAGTTAAGGTGCTGGACTAGAAGTGGATAGATTCAGGTTCCTAGATTTCCTTTAGACACTGAAGCCAGCTGGATGACTTTGAGTCTTTCACTTTCTCTAAAGTTAGACTGCAAAGAAAACAACAACAATCCCGAAGGTGTCAGTAGCAAATCTCTTCTACAAGGTGACCAATGAAAGTGACACACCAGGAGTCAATGCTAACTCAGAAATACAGTACAAAACAATCCTCACAAACTTTCCTTCATCAATCATATTGTACCTTCTTAAAGTTAATGTGTTTGGATGATACATTGTTCAGACTAATTGTTATTGCAACTTGATATTGTAGGTAATATCAAATTTGCTAATTTTTTAAAATCAAAGATGGCTAATTATTGTGTGTCAATTTATGTGTCAATTTAAGAATATTTTTTGTAACAGAATATGCTTCTGCTGGGTCATTGTATGACTATATTAATAGCAACAGAAGTGAAGAAATGGACATGGATCATATAATGACCTGGGCAATGGATATAGCTAAAGGTAAGTGAGATTTACTGACAGAACAAAGGCAATAATTCATAAAGGAATAGAACTCTGTGTTAGTTCCATTTCCTATTCAGTCCATATCTATTCTTAATCATTATTCTGAATTACTCATAGTGCCTAAAGATAGTTTCTTAATTATCTGTCCTATGAAATCTTCCAAAACCTATTTGACTTACTAAATAGTTATCATGAGCTTTCCAAAGGTGCTTTCTTTCAAAAGGCAACTGGACTTTCTTGTTTTGCTTGAAGATGTTTCACTTCAGTTCAGTGAACAGGAAGAAGCTTCTTGGATGAGAAGCGAAATGTCTTCAAGCTAAGCAAGAAAGTCAAGTTGCCTTTTGAAAGAAAGCACCTTTGGGACAACCATGACCTGGATGACTGAGAATCAGAGGTGGGTTGCTCCCAGTTTGGCCGGATTGGGCAAACCGGTAGTAGCAGCAGCAGGAGACTCCACCCGGACACTTCTGCACATGCGCAGAATCGTTGCACGTGCACACGCACAAGTGCGCGTGGGAACGCGCCCGAATCCTGTAGTAAAACAATTGGCAACCCACCACTGCTGAGAAAACACCATGAGCTTTCTTCACGAATATACCGGTAACTTTAGAAAGAATTTGGGAATACTTGGCATCTGTATTAGTTTATTTTGTGAGAATAGGAAGCAGTAGGAGCAGGGGGCAATTAAAGTAGGAGGATCTTTGTTATTTCTGTTTAGAATAGATTGAACATTCCAGTGACTGTATATTTCATGAACTAATAATATACCTAGAATTGTAAATATAAGATTATTCTGTTTAATAGTAATTGCCTTATTTAAAGAATAAATAAATAAACATGAAATTTCACATCTCTGTTGTTTTAAAAACCAGTGTCAAAATTATGACAGATAGAAAGTATATGAAATGTATGCAGGTTTTTTTTAACTTTGTTTTGGTGTAAGAATTGACCACACAAGGCATATCCACGTAGAAAAGAATTTCTTAACATTTTGATACTGGAAGTTACTTAGCATTTAGATGGGGATGATGTCACGCAAAGGAAATTAGGTTTTCCCCCCTCCACACACATTTTTATAGCTGCTATTTCCCTGAAGCTGCCTTTTTAATCCATGTTTGTATTTATGTACCTGTATGATTTTCCGTGGTCATGGCATTCTTGTGTTCAGTGATCTCTTAACAATAACCTTCCTCACTGTCATGCTTTCTAGGTGGGTTGAGATTACCATTCCAGGAATGTCCATGTCAGCATAGAGAAACCACAAAGGAACTTGAGTATGCACACAGACTTGCTTAAGAAAGTCTAGAAATGCTGTGCATGAAAAAAATTATATATTGAGATTGGGGATTTCAACTAAAAATAATTTGTATCTATACCGGCGAAAATCTATTTCAAGTAGACACTATTTTTTTTTTAATGAGTTTATGGAAACGTAAAGCAACACTTGGACTCATGAGTCCAAAGGACTCAATTTTTAGAAGCTTTTGGTCTTAGTGGAGTATTTCAATTATGTATACGTATCTTAAGAAATTCCTCATATGTACAAGGCAAGTGAATATTTTGATCCCGCTACAGACACAAATACGTATACTGATGAACAATGTTGTATATCAAGAAGCTTGATCATACTTCAGTCAAAACATATGAAATACAAACAACTCATTTTAAAGTATTCTATATTTAGATTCAGATTAGTCATTAGGTTTTAATTCCATGAGTGATACAAATGGCTAGAGGACAGGTGTTAAGCTTAAGGAAAGACTAAATGAAGAAGACACAAGAGTTAGAAATTAACAATGTATAGGTAGAGATGAACAAACATGTATAAATGGAAAGAAGCATTGTAAATTAAGGACTGTATATAATAGTATCATATGTATAGACAAAGAGAAACTAAATAAGGGGGGAGAAATACATTTATAATGGATGTATACTGAGGTGGAAATATTATACAGAAGGAAATTGCAAAAAAAATGGTTTTAATTCCAGATACATTACTTTAACAATTTTCTCCCAATTTTTTTAAAAAATGATCAATTTTTCCTATGTCATGTTTTGCCTGTGTGTTTAAAACCTCTGTGTTTTTTTCATGCACACAAAAAAGTAAATACTTTTCGAGTGATCAAATTTTTATAGTTTGTATTGAATTTACATTATAAGTTAGTTTTACTTTGTGCGTGTAGATGATATTGATAATGAGGATGGTGATTTATTTGACTTGGACACCACCCATCTCAGTTCAGCTCTGTGTGGCGAACAGAATAAAGACAAATAACAATATAGAATTCCAATTAAAAAATGAACAAGATGGTAATTGCAGCCAACAGCAACATGCATACACCTTACAAGTGGTTCCAATTGCTCTAGTTAAAACCTGGGAGACTAGCCAGATCCTTAAGATCCTCCAGAATGCCATCAGAGGGGGAGACAATCATATCTCTTGGGGTACTCATTCTAGAGGGCAGAAGAATATTTCTTCAAAAGCAGGTTGTTCTTAAGTATAGAGAATATGTATTTATTTCTCTATTTGTTTATCAAATTTATTTGCCACCCATCTCATGGTTCAGGCACAATAGTCATTGTATGAGGATGTATGATGGCCACCAGCTCATTGAAAACTCCATTGTCTCTCTTCTCTGCCCCCCCTCTCTTACACACACACCATGATATACCGAGGAAGTTTAACATTACTAATAATGTACATTCAGATACAGAAACTGCATCACACAATGGGAAGTCAACCTGGTGATACCGTGTTTCCTTTTCGACCCCTGAAATAAGCACTTGGCCTTATTTTCAAGAAGGTCTTATTATTCTTGAGGTGCAGCAGGCGGTGAGTGTGGTCACTCTCATGGCTGCTGCTTTGTTGCAATATCTTGGGGGAGAGTTTATTTTAGCGCATGCGCTCAAAAGTCAGATTGAGCTTATTATCCGGGGAGGTCTTATTTTCAGGGAAACAGTGTATATGCAATAAGAACCACATTTGAGCACTTCAACAGCCTGCTCATTGACAAAACAGTATTGAATAAGCCTATGCTTATACCCACAGATGTCAACTAATGTTTGCTAGTCCCGATGTAGCAAAATAACTTTATAAACTTTTTTTAAAATTTTCCTATTTTTAGGAATGCATTATTTGCATATGGAGGCTCCAGTCAAAGTAATCCATAGAGATCTGAAGTCCCGGAATGGTAATTCAGCATAAATTTACAATTTTGTTTATTTTGGCATTACAGTAGCTGCTGTTTCATATGAGTATGCATTGAATATTGCTGATTGAGAATTGAATCCGATATTTTCCTTTTGGCATTCTTGGTTTTTTTTTTTTTATTATTTAAAATCTCCTACTCATTTGAGGTTTTGCATGCAGGATGATATTTCAATTGCTTGATTACTTCTGATTAAGTTCAGCAATTCCTCATATAACCTTGTGATTAAAGATGGGACTAGAAAGCTCAGGTAAAAATAATATCTTTCTTCATTTCCCTTTCCCTATTAGAAAAATAAAAACAAATTGAAATATTTTCTAGTAGTTTTACTATTAAACCTCTAAAATGTTAAAATGTTTAATAGTGAAAGAAAATGGCCCAAATTTAGAAGTGTACAGAATAAAAAAATAACTTAAGTAGTGAAAGAATTTCAGTGTCTGTTTGATGTGGTGGTGGTAAGGTTAGGGTTAGGTGCTAGAATACAATTTGGAATGTTTCTTCTCTTTTCAGGGTCATGTTTGACCTGCCAGCTTAATCTAAATAGGATGTACTGTTCCTTAGCCATTGGCAATTTTTAGTTCCATTTTCAGGAAACATTTGAAATGTTTTAAAGCAATATTTAATGAAATTCAAAATTATTGCCTGGATAAATATACTTCTATTGAGAAATCAGGAAATCTATTGCTATCGCTATCGCTACCTCTATATCTACCGATCAATCGACTGACTGATCGACTGACCTACCGTGTTTGACACCCGAAATAAGTGCTTGGCCTTATTTTCAGGGAGGTCTTATTATTTTTGAGGTGTGGGAGGCGGTGAGTGTGATCACTTCATGACTGCAATATTTGTTGCAATATTTTTGGGGAGGGCTTATTTTAGCACATGCTAAAATAAACAGGGTATATCTATCTATCTATCTATCTATCTATCTNGTCTACCAGGAGATTTTGGAGCACTTCATGCTTCCTTCCGCAGATGAGCTTTATGGGGATGCTGACTTCATTTTCCAGCTGCCCACACTGCCAAAAACACCAAAACCTGATTCAATGACCATGGGATTACTGTGCTTGATTGGCCTCTCCATTCTTCCTTCCTACTCTGGGTCCTTGGTTTCCAAATGAGATGCAAAATTCTTGCTGTTTTCATGGATGTGGTCTGCTAGTATTCTGCTTGATGGTCCTACATAGTAGCTGTGACAGTCCTTACACTGTATGTTGTAGATGACTACTGTTTTTTTCTTCTTAGGCTATTAGTATTTTGATTTACTTAGGATGTTTTGGAGGATTTTTGTTGGTTTGCATGCTATAGTGATATCGTGGTTGTGACATTCTGTTGATTGATTTTGTGATATTTCTGATGCATGGTAGCGCTATCATTTTCATAGTTTGTGTTGGCTGTGTGTAGTGCATTGAATGGTCAGCCATGTTTTGATAAAGTTGAGAGGGTATCCATTTTGTTGGAAGATGTTGTGTAGGCAGTCTGTTGCCTTTTTTTTAGTGTTCTGGGTTGCTACGGTGCATTTGTGCTTGTCTGAGTAATGTTCTTACACAGCTCCTCTTGTGGGAGGTTGGGTTGTTACTTTGTTAATGGAGCACTTGATTAATGTGGCTTTTATTATTCCTATAATAAGACGTGGTAAATATTCTTGCCATGATAACACTAATGAACTCTTATGAAATAGTGATAAATATTAGTAATCATTTAGTGATGTTCAGAATGCTACGGTAGTTAAGCACATCTAACCCTGTAATTTTGTCTCATGAAAGAGTACCTCATGCTGGGAAATTTAGCTGATTTCTTAAATATGGTGTGAATTAGTTGATCCAGTAGCAAATAGAATGTATTTTCTAGATATGATATTGAGAATTAATCTCAACCTGAAGAAAATGCCCCCTGTGTTGTGACAAATAGACAAGCAAACATTAAAAATAAATTGTCAACATGTTGATCTTTAAGAAAAATACATAACTGGTCATATCTTTATTGGGGCCAACCAGTGAAGCTTTTATTCGGTGGTTTGTCCCAGTGAAATTTTTATTCAGCTACAGATTTGGGATTTAAATTAAACCCTTTGAATTTCCTTGAATGTTCTTGGAATGGGGCTAGAACAAACTGTCATTTTGCCTTTGGATGGATCTTGTGTCATTCATAACCTACTGTGTTTGATAGAAAAATGGGATTCCCATCAAGCTAAGATTTTGAAGTAGTGACAAATGTTTTTCTAAAACAATTTCTTAAAAATAAATACATAAATAAAAACTAGGCATTCCAATATACTGAGTTCCTGACTCATTCAATTTTCTCTTTTGGAACCTACTCAAAAATAGTTTACTTGCTACAGGAACAGGGACCTTTGGACCCCTATCTAAATATTTCTAACAATTTAACAAAGTATTCTCCAAAGCATTCTAAGATTAGTCATTTGCTGTAAAACTCTCGCTAGTCATATCACTCTTTCTTTTTTCCTTCTGTCCTCAGGCTTTACTTTGCATTAAAGTAAACAATTGGCTACAATTGATTTCTCCAGCTTCATTGGCAGTGGTTAGGAGCAACAAAAGATAAATATTTCTATGTGTTAGAGAAACAGAAAGATATAGCAAAACATGAGGCAGCAAAAATAGTTATGTAAAATAGCCTGTCCTATCCTTGCTTGATTGTAGCCAATGATGGAAGTTATATTTATGATTAACATAAGGGAAAGAGAGTTATCTGTCAATATATTCATGGAAAATAGGACAAGGTAAGAGTGACCAACTGTTGTGTGAATGAACTTTCTGGTTGTTGTTGTTTTCCCTTTTAAAAAAGACATGTGAGGACATCCATTTGAAGAAAGATGGAGAAATCTTGGGAATCTAAAACTGTGATAAGCCTTATTTTGTTATTTGGCGACAATTCCAGGCCTTTCTGTTAACTGATCTTGATGACAAAATCAAGTTTTGGGGGGATTCCAGAAGACCAACAGGTTTGGGGCCAACCTCACTTCTGATGCTTAATTGATAAATGGAGCCTATACCACTGATAGTTCTAACGTTAACAATTTCTAAATTTTGGGCACAATTGTTCTAGAACTGCTAAATTAGAAAGCCACTGATTTGTGACATTCCTATCCATTCTCAAAGATGACTCCTCTTACAGATGCCTTTGAAAGATTGGAGACAATCTCTGATAAGCAGAGGCTTCTACCTTGTATCTTGGTTGTCTTCAGGTACAAAATAGCAATGGATTGGTGAACTTGCCGTGTGCTGTAGCTTCATTTTCAGTGGTTGTGACAACTAAAAAAAAGTATTATCACAAGCTAGAATCATTGCGTTTATCATTGCATTTATGTGATTTCTTTGCTTGAACATACTTCAGCATAAAAGCTATTTTTTGAGCAAACCTCCGTCTTTCTCAAATGGCTGTCTTGTCAACATTTTATTGGTAGCCAGGAGCACATTTGAAAATATTGTATCTAATCCTACATCTACACGTCTTCATTATTTATTACCTAATTATTTTTTAGATTTATATCCTAGCATTCCTCTAGGAAATTTATGGCTTATATGGGAATTCCCTTCTGCTATAATTAGATGGCTGCTCAGCGATAGAAGACGCTGAGTTTCTCAGCTGGAAAGCTGACAGTCTGTGTTTGAGCATCTCATGATAGGGTGAGCTCCTGTTCCTGCCCCAATTCCTGCCCACCTATCAGGTCAAAAGATTGCAAATGCAAGTAGATTAATAGGTACCACTTCGGTGGGAAGGTAACAGCATTCCATGGGCCTTTGGCGTATAGTCATGCTGGCCACATGACAACGGAAAATATCTTCAAACAACGCTGGCTCCCTTGGCCAAGAAACAGAGATGAGCATTGTGACCTAGAGTCGGACACGCCTGGACAGGGGAAACCTTTATCTTTACTATATATGGTGATGCCTCAGGAGGAACCCAGGTTTCTGTGGTTAAAGATAGATTTGAATCTAGTTCAGGACATTTATCATCCAGATCTCCATTCCAACTTTTGATTAATATTTTATATTTGGACAGTCTTGGAAGTATGCTCAGAAACTTCAGTTAAACCAGGATGCATCAGGAAAAGTTCCAGAGAGCACATGTCCTCCATTTTAAACAACTTAATGTAATGTGTTTCTTTAAACTTGTATAGGATTTCAAACTAGGCAATATTAAAAAAAAATCTCATTCTCCCATATAAATCTTCCCAAACTTTGAGATCTTCTCCCAAATTGCTCTTTCAGTAGAGCTTCCACCACTACTGGAAACAACTATTTAGTAGCTGCTTTTCCAAAATGCAAGGAATGTTGTGTACTTTCCAAATAATAATAATAGCTATCATTGTGTCAGCAAATATAAACATGTTTATTTTAGCAGGGTTTTGATAAGGAAGCTCTAAACCGGTTTGTCTGTCAAGGTAAGTTTTCAATGAATTGTTAGATGTTTTTTGTTTCCCTGTCTTAGCATTTGTTTTTAAGCCATCAGCTCTTTTTTTTTGTATATTTGTTTTTAAAGATGCTTTAATTGCTTTAATTAGACAAATGTTAGTCTGTATAATCTGTAGGTTTAATATATGTTCTTACTAGCTACCTTGAGCACAACTATTGATACAGATAATGATTCAGAGGTTTTGTGTTAATTATAGAATTATGTCATTTTGTATTCACATCTGGTGTTTTTGTTGAATTTTGAACAGGCAGAAATACTCAGCGTGTTGAGCCACAAAAATATCATTCAGTTTTATGGTGCCGTTATTGAACCCCCAAACTATGGCATAGTTACAGGTAAACTACAGATCTTCCTACTTTTATGATATGTGGGTGATGTTTCTGAAGCACAGGATTTTTTCAGTAAATGGCTATATACTTGTGGTTTTTTTTTTTTAAAAAAACCTTCCTTTCTTTTCAAGTGGAGCGATATGTTAATATAATTTGGAAAAAAAGAATTCCTTTAATCCTGCAAATATTATTTAATTGTAAGGTCTGGAGTGTTTTCTGTGAATCCAAAATGGGCACATTGCAGGAATGGTATTTGCTTTAGTTAAATGGTATAGGCATTTTTGCAAATGGATAGAGAACAACATGTACATTATGCCTATGTAGTCTTCTGTCAAGATGGGAGAAAATAAGAGCGATATAAGAAACAGCAATTTTGCCATTATATTCTATTGACAGAAAGACAACTTAGGGGCAAATTGTACAGGATAGTCTTCAATTGGCTGTGAGACACACTTACAGAGCCAAGATAGATCTGCTATAACCTTGCCTCTTTTGCAGGGGGTGGGGCAGTAGTGGGTTGCAGGCGGTATGCCCTGGTACACGCGTACCGGAGCCTGCCCGGAGCACTGGATACCGTTCCGGTACGTGTGTACGCATGTACCAGGAGTCCTTCGGGAGTGGGCGGCATACAAGACCAATAAACTGAACTGAAACTGAAACTGGTGCTCCGGAGGGCCCACCCACCCGCCCAAGCTCCTTACTGGTCTTTTAAGTCTTCGGCACTTCTGCACACATGCATGGCGTGTACAGCTCCTGCACAGTGCTCCGCTGAGCAGCTGGAGCCTTACAGAGGCTCGGGGAGGTGCTAAGACGTGCTACACACCGCCATGTGGATGTCGCCGGGCCCGTTCCAACTGTACCAATTGGAATGGGATCCGGAACCCACCACTGGAGTGGGGTATGTCTCTGTAAAAATCTTGAGCCAATATTACAAGAATCTAGGCCTATTAGAAATATGGCCAAGTGAGCTATATGACCTGAAAACATACTTCAATCTTATTTCTTCTGTCAACAGACTAGACTTACAAATTGACCTGAGCCTGGCAGGATCTATCATCTTTCCCATTCTGGGAACCAGGCATGAAATCCTCTTACCTTTGCTACCAGTTCAGAACCGGGAGCATGTCTGTGCGCTCGCTTCACTCATGGTACTTCTGCGCATGCACAGATCGTCTGTGATGACATCTGGGCAGGTGGGCGGAGCCTCACACCACCACCACTACCTTTGGGTTTGGGAACCACTAAAAAACGGAGCTCTCCCAACTTCCATATACTTTAGCCTTTATGAAGCAGCTGGAAACTCTGTTTTTGATTAAGCAGAAATGCTGTCAGGGGGCAAAAATATTTAAGTCTTCTTTTTCTTCTTTTGGCATGCATCCTCCCATTCCTGATTCTTCTAGTCTTCTCTGATTAGAAAGTACCATTGATTGGTATTGCTTGGACACAACAACGCAACATATACCATATATTCTATATAAAATTCTGTTTCAGATCATGTGTTGCTTCTATGTGTTGAGATATTAATATGAATATATTTCACATATTTAAATGTGCTTATTGTTGTATTCTAAATGCTAGAATAGAATTTCTATTTCCAAGTGAGCTAGGTAGCATAACAGCCGGCTAAGGCACCAGGCACCAGTGGCTAAGGCACCAGGCTAGAAACCAGGAAAGTGGGAGTTCTAGTCCTGCCTTTGACACAGTGGTGGGTTCCAGCTCCCATTGTAACCAGTACGGGTGTCCACCATGTACATGTGCATGCATGCGTACCCACCGTCCGCAACACTTCAGCTGCTCTGCGGAGCATCGCACAGGTGCTGTATGACCTGTGCACGTGCACAAATGCCCCAGTCAGCTCAAATAGAGGTAAGGAGAGCGGGCAGGTGGGTGGGCCTCCGGAGCACCGTACTGGAACGGTACTTGGTGCTCCCAGCAGGCACCGGTACACCCATACTGGAGCGTACCAGTCATGTCCTATCACTGCTTTGACATCAAGTTAGGTTGGGGACCTTGTGTTTCTCAGACACTTTTGAAAATTTTGCTAAGGCAGTTGCCAAGAGTCAAGTTTGACTTGAAGGCTGTCTATCTATCTTGAAGAAACATAGTATTTCCAAGGCCTCCTTCTTATTTGACAACCTGAAGGATTTGCAAAGGTCAGTAAATTTAAAGCAGATGCAAATTTCTTCTAGCTAAGGTTCTCCACCTCCCCCAGGCCAAATGAGTTTTGGATAAAGTGTAAATGGAAGTACACTTTCATAAAATGAAATTAACCGTAGTTAATATGGGTTAATGTTCAGGGATGTGCTTCGTGCCCTCCTTTTGTTACACTGAAAAGATTTTGCCTTGTGTTTGTTCATTTCAATACATTTTAGTTGTAATAGATTTAACTACCGTGTTTTCCCAAAAATAAGACAGATCCCCGAAATAAGCACTTGGCCTTATTTTCGGGGAGGTCTTATTATTTTTGAGGTGCAGGAGGTGGCGAGCGTAGTTACCTCATGTTTGCTGCTGTGTTGCAATATTTTCAGGGATGGCTTATTTTCAGGGGAGGGCTTATTTTAGTGCATGCGCTCAAAAGCCTGGTTGGGCTTATTATCC